TGAGTGGTGAGTGTGAGTGTCACTGAGAGGACCAAGGTGAGGAAAATTGACCACCAGTGTTGTCAGTCTGATCATTGGTAACCTACAAGAACCATCTCTGAGAATGAAGGGTGGAGTGAACTGGGGAAAGTGGAAGAAAAGAATGTGAGAAAAAAAGTGTATCATTCAAGGGGCTGGAGCAATAGTACAGCAAGTAGGGCATTTGCCTTGCAAGTGACTGACCTGAGTTTGAGTTCCAGCATCCCATATGGTCCCCCGAGCACCCCCAGAAGTAATTCTTGAGTCAGGAGTAACCCCTGTGCATCACCGGATGTGACCCAAAAAGTAAAAAAAAAAAAGACTATCATATCCTTAAGAGGAGCACGGAGACTTGGCCCTTCTGATGATTTGATGGTTGATTGAGAATTGTCAAGCAAGGCCCCCAGGTTACCTGAGCACAGCCCTGGAGACTCTTCTACCACCCCATAAAGAGAAAAAGCACAGAAATGTACTGGTAGCTAGACAGAAATCTGGATTTAAAGTAGGGTTATTTTTTCAAGATAGAAAATATATGGCCATGTTTGCAATTGATTCAGCCACGTGTATAAATGTAATGAGGACCAAAGAATGATTAATAGGAGGCCAGGGAAAAAGCTCAGAGGCTAGGGCTTAGGGCTACGTATTTTGCATGTGCCAGACCTGAGTTGCCTCAGTGCTGCATGGTCCTCAAGCACCGCTGGGTATAGCCCCGGAGGCCTCTAGCACTGCAGGGCCCCTGCAGCGCCACATTCTTAGCTCATAGCTTTGACTGTCCTGGCCGGTGAATTATATTGTTGGGAGTAACCCCTGGGCCCCTGAGCACTGCTGGTGAGACGCCCCTCATCCAAAATAGAATGGTTAATTGAAATTCAGACCTTGAGGAAGAAAATGATGTTGGACTTTAATGCAAAGTTTTTGGCCAGAATAGGGATAAAAGCAAAATTTTTTCCTCTTCTGTGAAAGAGGAAGAACAGAAAGCATTTGCTTATGTTTTCTCAATGAAGAATGAATCAAGATCATAAAATGGAAGTGGGAAGAAAGTTATTAGATTAGGGACATAAGAAAACATGACAGTCACTTGGAGTGTGAAAGAGTGAATGAAATCAGGAACATCCAGTGGGATCACAGAGAATTATACACTCATATGAAATATGCAGACATGAATTTTTGTGGGGGGCACACCAGGAGGTGCTTAGGAGTTATTCCTGACTCATGTTGGGGGGACCATATGGGATGCTAGGGATCAAACCTGGGTTGACCCATGTAGGGCAAACGTCCTACCAGCTGTACTATCTCTCCAGTCCCTGAACATGAACTTAAAGTGAGATTAGTCAACACTGATCACCTATGACTCATAAGCATCCAGAAATGAAGTTCATTGAATATAGAAGTGCCCGCAGCAATTGTTCACTGACTAAATAAACCAATGGTACATAAAACATTTAGATAGGAGATTAGGTAGGAAAATTTAAAAAATGTACATTGACAATCTACTTGCAGAAGATAAAAGACAATTATTTGGGAAAGAAAGCCAAATTTCATCACAAACAAGCAAAAACATTAAATTTCAAGCTGAAGTTTTTAATTCTTAAAATAGGATGAAGTTAATTTGGGGAAACATTTCTGAAGTTCCAGATTAGAGATAAAAATTTACTAAACATACATCTTCTCTTGCTTGTTTTTTGGGCCACACCTGGCGGTGGTCAAGGGCTGACTATTGGCTCTGCACTCAGGGATGACTCCCAGTGGGCTTGGGGGATCGTATGGAATGCCAGGAATTGAACCTGGGTCAGCTGCATGCAAGGCAGGCGCCCCGCCTTGAGAGATCACTGTTCTCTCACTGCAGCCCCAGCATATGTCTATTTTTGTTTTGTTTGGGGACCATTTCTGGTGGTGCTCATGACTTACTTTTGGCTCTGCGCTCAGGGATCACTCTTGGTGAGGCATGGAAGACAACCATATGTGGTGCTGGGGATTGAACCTGAGGTGGCCACATGCATGGCTGTAGCTTGTCACTCTAGTAAGCTTGTGTCCTAACTGCAGTTCTTGCACAGTGCTCACCAGAGGTTACACTCACTTCATTGCAGCAGACTTTATGGCTGTAGTGCTCTGGACCCTTGATGCTCACATACCTGCTCACCATGCATTCTTAGTTGTAATGCTGGCACATATGTTCTGTTGTAGTAGCTTGACTTCAGTGAAGATCTATGGGCTTCCTCAGGTATGGGAGATGGAACTGATGGCCTCCCACTTTCCAAGTAGACTTATTTTTTGTTTTTTGGGTCACACCCGGAGATGCACAGGGGTTACTCCTGGCTCTGCACTCAGGAATTACCCCTGGCAGTACTCAGGGGACCATATGGGATGCTGGGAATCGAACCAGGGTTGGCCTTGTGCAAGGCAAATGCCATACCCGCTGTGCTATTGCTCCAGCCCCACATGAATTTTTTAAAAAGTTTTTTATTGAATAACTGAAGATACATGAATTAAAAACATGTTTGGGGGCTACATCTGAATTACTCCTATTTCTGTGTCCGCAGCTTACTGCTGGCAGTGCTCTGGGACCATAAGGGATGTCAGGGACCAAATCTGGGTTGGTCATGTGCAAGTCAAGCACCCTACCCACTGTACTCACTCTCCAGCCCCAACAAATATAAATTCTAATATTCAGAAATATCTAGTTATTTTACACATATACATGATTCCCAGTATACAAAACAACCCTTCAAGATTGCATGCATTATTAGTGTCCCGTTTAACAGATGACGGAAGAGGTGGACCATTTCGGTATTTTACCCAAGATTTCAGTTCTAAGGTTAAAACGAGGCCTCTGATTCAGTTTTCCTGTCACTTCACTTTGTATTCTCCCAGCTCCCTTGGTTAACACAGAGGCTCACTCACGACAGAGTTCAGCAAAACACCCCTACACATAAATCAGCTTAACTTTGTACTTAATCCAAATTGTTTGCAAACAATTTTTTCCATCCCACCTCCACCTCCCATCCCTGCCGCCAACTTTCTAATTCCTTTTCAACTGTCTTCTAAAACCTCTTTCCTCTACCCTGCATTTTGAAGGCTCCTCCCAAGATAACCCCCACTGGGTCTTGAACACTGAGCTTGTCTTTCCTTTCACAGAGCAGCCTTCCAAGTGGTCATCCAATCTAAAATAGACCCCTGGTATTCCGCAAGTCAATCATGCTTCCTTACATTTATCTAAAGTCTCCAATGGAGACGTTACTGGGCCCGCTCGAGCAAATCGACGATCAACGGGAGGTCCTTAACATTTATCTAAAATTTTTTATTTATTTCTGCTGTCCACCCAGGTTTAAGCCCTACAAAAGAGCGTAAGTCTTGTCTACCCCAACTTTCCCATTTACTCAACACAGTAGCCACTAGGAACATAATGAATGCATCAAGTGTGATCATCTTTGAGTTGAAAATGTGCAGGCTTAAAGTTCGTACTGGATTTCAAGGACTTGGTAGCACGTAGCACTATCCTCCCGTTGTTCATCAATTTGCTCCAGTGGGCACCATTAACGCCTCCATTGTGATACTTGTTATTACGTTTTTGGCATATCGAATAGCCAAGCAGAGCTTGCCAGGCTCTACCCTGCAGGCGGGATACTTTCTGTAGCTTGCCGGGCAAGAGGGGCAGAGGAGTCGAACCCAGGTCCAATGTATGCAAGGCAAACGCCCTACCCCAGAGGATTTGATACGAAAAAGAATGTGTACTAAGATGTCAAGAATTTTTTGTTTTTGGCAAAGATGATAGTTTTTTTTGTTTGTTTTTTGGCCATATCTGGCAGTGGTCAGGGCTTACTTCTGGTGGGCTCAGGAAACCATATGGATTGCTGGGAATCCAATCTGGTCAGCTACTGCTGTATTATCTCTCCAGCCAGATGCATTTTATTATTATTTTTTGGGCCACACCCAGGATGCTCAGGGGTTACTCCTGGTTCTGCACTCAGGAATCATTCCTGGCGGTGCTTGGGGGAACCATATGGAAAGTTGGTGATTGAACCCAGGTCGGCCTTGTGCAAGGCAAATGTCCTAGCCTCTGTACTATCTCTCCGGCCACCAGATGTATTTTAAAATGTTGATTATGAGCTGAAATAATATGTACATGTGTTGGGTTCAGCGGATGATGAAGTTCATTTTTCCTACTTAAGAGTTTTTTGCGGTACTAGGGATGGAACCCAGGGTCTCAAAACACCTAAGTGCTCTGCCGCTGAGCGCCATCCCAACGCCCTGACTCCAAATCCGCTCACGTAAGCGACTCGTCCTGTTTCTAAGCTCAGAGTCCCGGTTCGTTTTACCCGGCAGAGCAACAAATCCTAGCGGGCTGACGAAATAAATGGGCGCGTGAAACAATACGGTTTTCAATCGCGAAAGCGGATAGAGCATTGTCCTTGACGTTAGCTGGGGTGGGGTATGTGTGTGGGGTCTGGGTTCTGGCCCCCGCATTGACTGCAAACACTGTGGACCCGTGGACCAACCGCCCCGCCCCCCCCCTCTGGGCGCCAAAATGCCCATCAAGCAGCGAGTCCTCGAATCTGAACGTCTAAGCGAGGGAGTGGTGCAGAAGGGCGAGCCAGCCGGGCGCCGGCGGCCGTGCTCCGTGCAGCTGTAGCTTCACACTCGCGCGTTTCGGCGGGCAGGAGGGGGCAGCCGGGCCCGCAGACCGGGTCCCCTCCACCCCACCCCGAACCCGAGCCGGGGGCCGCCGGCTTCCTCGCGCCGACGTCACTGGGGTGCGACGGCGGGGTCGGGCCGGTCCTCGAGACGGCCGCCGCTCCGCAGGTTCGAGTTGAAGGCGAGTACCCGACTCACAGAGCCGGGCAGCTCCCGCATCTCCGCAGGCCTCGGCTCCCGGCCACCCTCGCCTCCGCCCGGCCCGCTCCCGGGGCCCCGCAGCCCGAGAGCCCGGCGCCACGAGCGCGGGAGCCCAGCGCGGCTGCGCGGGGCACGTGCGCCGCCACCCCGGAGCCCCGGCGATCGGCTGTGACGCCACTTCCGGCGTGAGCGGTGAAAGCCGGGAGGGCGAGCGAGAGAGCGAGCCGGCAGCAGGCAGCAGGCGGGCGGACGGCGCCGAGGGAGGGCTCGAACGAGCAGCGAGCGAGCCGGCGAGCGCGGCCGCGGCCCCGGAGCAGCCGGCATTCCTCCCGTCCCTCTGGCCCCCTCCCCGGAGCCCACCGCGCCTCCGGTCTCCAGCGGAGCGGACCCGGCCCGGCCCGGCCATGGCCTCGTTGCTGAAGGTGGATCAGGAAGTGAAGCTCAAGGTAGCGGCAGCAGCCCTCGCCTCCGCGCCCCGCGCCGCGAGCCCCGGGCGCCCCGGCGGCTCCCCGCTCCCCAGCGCCCCTTTGTCTCCCCGGGGACACCTGCTCCGAGCGTCCTTTGGGCTCAGCCCAGCCCCCCACCCCCGCCCCCTCCCGGAGCCCGCCTCGGCGGGGAGGGTCCCTTTAGCGGGCCATTTGCACCCGGGGCGGGGCGGGGGGGGGAACTCCGCGGAGCACATGCTGGATTCCGTGCGTTAAGCGCTGACAGCTGGAAGTCTCCCGGCTCAGCAACAGCATCGTCTTCCGATGCTGCCCCAGCCCTAGAGTCGAGGCAGCTTCGTGTACATGTATATGTTATACAGATACAGATATGTGTCTACGTATGTGTGTTTCTCTGTATGTACATGATATGTACATAATGTCTATCCCAGACCAAGTCTGGGTTGGAGTTGGCACGTTTGTGAGCTCATACCCCATCTGCCCCTTGTCTTTTGTCCGCGCCCAAACTCAGCATCAGAGCCGGGAGGGAGCGGGAGAGGGAAGAACAGGTGGGGGTGCTGCCCACGAGCCCCAGTTCCCTCTGCTGGGATGGAGAAATGGGTCCTCAAAAAAATGAAATATTTGCAGTCTGGGGGCCTCTCAGCTTCTCATTACAATTGCAAGGTGAGGGAGAGAGCAGGATTAGGGTTTCCCTCCTCCCTGCTTTTACAACTCTGGTGCCGAATGAATCCCTTTCTTTGTTGTTGCAGGTTGATTCTTTCAGGGAGCGGATCACAAGTGAGGTGAGTGAAATAAAGGGAAAACGAGGTGTGTTGGTCATCATTGAGGTTCCCCAAAAGAAGAAATAGCTGTAGAGTGGCCAAATTAATAAGACCAATTTTATCATTTCAGTTGTATTTTTCCTTATCTCTAGGCTGAAGACTTGGTGGCAAATTTCTTCCCAAAGAAGTTGTTAGAACTTGATAGTTTTTTGAAGGTGAGAGACTTTCCCCTTCCCCACTCTCCTCCATTTTCTCACTTTGTTGAGCCCTGATGTGTCTCAGATGGCGTACACTGTTCTGACTATTTTGTTCTGGACCCCAGAGCACACTTTATTTCTTGCCCTTTAAATTTTGAGTTTTCTGTTAATATTGAAAAATCAGAACCGAAACATTTTTATGGGTCGGTATTTCCCTTTTAGGAACCAATCCTGAACATCCATGACCTAACTCAGATCCACTCAGACATGAATCTCCCGGTCCCAGACCCCATCCTTCTCACCAACAGCCATGATGGACTGGATGGGGTAAGTGTTTTATATCATTGTTGCTTGCTCAAGCCTCTAACTTGTGGATTTTTTTTTTTGACATGTACAGAGGGTATATGGTATTTGGATATGATCTGGATATGGGGAACAAAAACTCATACAACACTGGAGAGAAACACCCCCCCCCAAAAAAAAAAAAAACCAAATACGACTAATAGCTACATATTCTGTCGGGTTATCTTATCCCTTCCCAGAACTCTAAGCAGGACTTTTCTTGTTTCAGTGTGTTGAGGTCTGTTAGAGACTATTACAGTCTCTATTTGGTTTTTTTTTTTTTGTTCTTGTTTTTTTGGGTCACACCTGATGGTGCTCAGGGCTTTCTCTTGGCTCTGCACTAAGGAATCACTCCTGGTGGTGCTTGGGGAACCATATGGGGTGAACCTGGATTGGCTGTGTTTAAGGCAGATGCCCTACTCACTGTCTGTATCACTGTACTATCACTCCGACCTTGGATATTAGGATGTTCTGCTATTGTATTTGCTGTATATCTTTTAGCATATAGTTCTTTTAAGTTGTTTGTCCACATTTATTAAATAGATAACACTGTCTTATTTCTAAAACCTGAACTTCTAAAGGAAAAACCCATGTTTGTTTGTGGGGCCAAATCCAATTAGTGCTCTGGGGGCTTCTTTGTGCTCAATGCTTGGGGGGTATTCCTGACAGTGTTTAGTGATCATGTGCTGGGGCTTGAACCCAGGGCTCCCACATGACTCAAGCCCTTTGAGCCACCTCCTCGAACAGGCAGAAATTATCTTTTTTAGTTTGTTTTCTGGGGCCACACCTGGCAGTTGCTAGAGAACCAGGAGTGGGGGGATACCAGGGATCAGACTCAAATCGGCCGAATGCAAGGAAAGTCCCTGATCTGTTGTACCATCTCTCAGGCCTGGTAGAAACTGTCTTAAGCATCTTTGTATCCCAGGCACCTAGTGTTGATCCAGGTACATGCTAAACACATGTTTATTGACTGCATATTACAATTTTCTGTGAAACCAGCAGATTTGTATTTTCTCATAGTTATCTTCAGCCTGCATTAGTTGATTCCATTTTCCTATTGTAGTATCTTCCTCTCTCATCTATTTGCTTGTTGTGTTATATCTCTTGAAAGGTTGGTCTTCCTAACTAGGTGCAGGTTCCTTTTGTTAAGGCCTCATGTGTGCTGAATAAATTGTGTGTAAATGAAAAAGACAACTCTGGGCTTGAGAGTGAGACTTAACTTGTGTGAAAGGCATCCTGTGATGGGGGTATTGGTGTGGAGGGTGTGCTGATTCCTGTCTCCTTATGTCCTCAGCCCACTTACAAGAAACGAAGGTTGGATGAGTGTGAAGAGGCCTTCCAAGGTAAGAGCCACTGCAGCTACCCTCGCTTCCCTTGGGCCTGGCAGCCCTGAGAGGTAGAATGGGTGTGGTATTCTGGCCAGGAAGCCCAGTCCAGTTACTTCCCAGCATTAGCATCCCAAGTCTTGTAAATGCAGTTACCGATCACTCTATGCCTTATTTTCTAGTTAACAGTCTTGGTGTGCCTTCCCAAGGGAGCGAGGTGGGAGGACAATTTTTCATAGATGTGCCACTCCCCTACCCCTGCACAACACACAAGGTGATGCTCAGGGCTTACTCCTGTCTCTGTGCTCAGGATTATTCCTGACAGGGTTCAGGGGATCATATGGGCTGTCAGGGATTGAATCCAGGTTGGGTGTATGCAAGGCAAGCACATACCCGCTGTACTATGTCTCTGGCCCCGTGGTTCAATTTTCATGTTCCCCCTTCTGCCCCCTGCCCCCTTAAATACTAGTTAAGTATTTACAAATTCTTTATTTTTATTTTATTTATTTATTTTTTTGTTTTTTTGGGTCACGCCCAGCAACACTCAGGGATTACTCCTGACTGCACGATTGCACTCAGGAATTACTCCTGGCAGTGCTCGGGGAACTATATGAGATGCTGGGGATCGAACATGGGTTAGCCGTGTGCAAGGCAAACACCCACCCCTCTGTACTGTCACTCTAGTCCCTAATTTTCTTATTCTTTAGCTTTGGAATATACATTAGCTTCTCACTACTCTACAGTCTTTTATTCTAATGGTGTCACTGTTTGTTGAGGGAATAGTGATAGACAGTGGGCAGAGATCAGGGCTGGAGAGATAGTATAGTAGGTTGAATGCTTGCCTTGCATGCAGCAGACCTGGGTTTGGTCCTTGGCACCCCAGATGGTCCCCTGAGCCCAGCCTCCAGGAGCGATCCCTGAGCACTGTTGGGTATGGGCCAGAAACAAAAGGCAGAAGTCCTAGCATTTCCTGAGATCAGAGAATAGGAAAGGTGGGCTGCTGTGCCCTGCCTGACCCGTGCCATCATTTGACCTTTGCATCCCTGCCAGGAACCAAGGTGTTTGTGATGCCCAACGGGATGCTGAAAAGCAACCAGCAGCTGGTGGACATTATTGAGAAAGTGAAACCTGAGATCCGGCTGCTGATCGAGAAATGCAACACGGTGAGCCAACAGCAGGGGCCCATGGGCTGACACCTCCTGTTGTCAGCGGTGAACTGTCATCAGTGTGGGTCTGGGAGCCTGGACGGGAGTGGTGGTCCGCAGACTGATGTTCCAGTCATGGTCCTTTACCCTCCAGGTCAAAATGTGGGTACAGCTCCTGATTCCCAGAATAGAAGACGGGAACAACTTCGGGGTATCCATTCAGGTAACATGCTTTCATTGCCGACTTGGAGTGGAAGGTTTGAGGGTACATCGTCCCCCTTGTTTTCCCCCAGTTTTTCCTTTAAAATTTTTGGTTTGTTTGGGGGCTATACCTGGCTATGCCCAGGGTTTACTCCTGACACTGGGCTCAGGGATTGCTTCTGGTGCCGCTTGGAGAACCATCTGGTGTGTATGTGTGTGTGTGTATGTGTGTGTGTGTGGTGGGGGGGGGGTTTGAACTTAGGTTGGCCACTGGCAGAATGTGTGGTTTTGCCCACTGTTCTGTGTCTTTAGCCGCTGTGGGAGTGAAGGGAAGGTAGTTTTTGACTGACCTTTTTTTTTTCCTCCCCCAGGAGGAGACTGTTGCAGAACTAAGAACTGTTGAGAGTGAAGCTGCATCGTATCTGGACCAGATTTCTAGGTAGAGCTTTCTGAACCTGGCCTGAAATTGGGAGGTTGGGGAACTGGTGAACATGTCCAGGGTCCTGCAGCTTTCTTCTCTTCTCTCTTCCAGATATTATATTACAAGAGCCAAATTGGTTTCTAAAATAGCTAAATATCCCCATGTGGTAAGTAGGGGTTTTGTGGCCTAAGGGCAGAATGGGGTGGGAGGAGTAGGCCTGGGAAGGACCGCCCGGACAGGCCTGTCCTGGAAACCAGTCTCCTCTGTGTCCTTCTCTCAGGAGGACTATCGTCGCACCGTGACAGAGATCGATGAGAAAGAGTATATCAGCCTGCGGCTCATTATATCAGAATTAAGGAATCAATATGTAAGTGACCTTGCTTCCTTCCTGTGGTTACCATGGATTTCTTTTTGTTTGGTTGATTTTTTGGGGTTTTTTTGTTTGTTTGTTTTCCCCAGTGCTCTTGGGATCACAATAGGGGATGGAGGTAGAATCAAATTCTCAGTTGAGTGTTGAGAACTGTGAAATCATCGAGGGTATGGAACCTCCCTTTCAGCCAGGTTGGGAAGGAGTGCATATAGTTGTGCAGGTGTATTGGACTTAATGGAGCCAACCTGTAGTATGTAGTCTTGGGCAGTTTGTTTAATCTCAGGTGTGTTTCCTTTTGCCTAAAATGGGACTTCATATATCTCCTGCAGAAAGTAGGTTCTTAACATTAGTGAGCGCTGGGGCCAGAGAGGTAGTACAGTGGGTAGGGCACTTGCCTTGCATACAGCCGTCCAGGGTTTGATCCCCCAGCACCCCATTGATTCCCCGAGCACTTTCAGGTGAAGCCCCAAAACAAAACAAATGAAAAAAAGTAGTTTGACTTTGTATGTGACTCAGTGGTGGAGCACTTGTTTTGTATTTGTGAGGCCTGGGTTCTAACCTCGGTACCCCAAATAATAGCAGCAAAAAGTAGTGGGATAACTCTTCAAAGGACTCAGCAGTTCTTAACAAGGAAATGTTCGACAATAGTAGTTGTCAGACCTTGAAGGCTTTTGAAAGGCCTAATTAGGCCCATTGTGGTGGTGTGAGAGAGGTAGGGCTGCCACTTTCAGTTCGTTCAAGAAGTAAGACTGGGATTATGCTAATGATTGCTTGGAGATTGTGTATGAGAGAGAGGGAGGGGGCGTACAAGGGGAAAAGAGAGAGAAGAGAGAAGACAAAGGATTTGATTTCCTGATCCATCTTCTCCCAGGTCACTCTACATGATATGATCCTGAAAAATATCGAGAAGATCAAACGGCCCCGGAGCAGCAATGCAGAGACACTGTACTAGGGCCAGGGCCAGAGGACTCTGTGAGTCTGGCTCAAGACCGATATTGCCTTGGTTTGTTACATGACTATCGTGATGGGGAAACTGGCTGGAAATAGTAATCACACCTCTCTCTGTTTTTAGTTAGAGTCTAATGAAACTCTCATGTAGTTCTGTGACGTGTTTACCTCTTTTTTCAGGCCTCAGGAACTCTTCTATTTCCTTCCCTAATCCCCCATATTTGACCAGTTCTAATTTTTGGAGAAAACTCCAGCTTTGTGCAGGATTGGGGGCACAAGAATACTTGTGTTTTCTCTCTCCACCTCTCCCTCCTCTGTCTTGGGCTTTGCCTCTTCCTTTTGATTAATTGGTCGGAAGCTGAGGGAACTAGAAGGTAAACACAAAGTGTTTTTTTGTTCTGTTTTTTTAGGAATTGAGGTCAGGGCCTCAACTCCTCCCCTCCTAATGTAAGGTTAGTGGCTCTTGCCTCTGTGGGATGTTGGATCCTCCCTGCCGCAGTTGCTCTCGTGATGACTTAGGGTTTCCCATCGACCTACATCCCACATTCAACCTGATCATGACAAAAAAACACCTTAGACCTTCGCGTTCCTAGCCCCTGCAGGTGTTTTATAACTAGGGTTTTGACAAACACATATGTAGGTGCATGTGCACGCACACAGGCCAGATGCACACACACAGGCCTTCCTACTCTTCAGTACCCCTTTCACCTGACTCCTGTCTCTCATCTTCAGGAGGTGATAAAATTGTCTCGATCATCATCCACAGGGCCCACCTCCTGACATTGTAGCCTCTTGGTGCCCAGGTGAATTGGAGAACTGAGAGAGGGATAAGCAGCAGGACTGGGGCCTTTCCCTGTGACAGGGCATCATTTATCGGGGTGCAAAGACTGACCCCCTGACTTCTGACTGCCTTTGCCCAGGCTATTGATGAATTGGGGTTGGGAATCTGCACCTCTGAGGGTTAAATGCTGTTGCTCCTGCCGGGCTTGCCCTCTCGGAAAATGATTTCACTTATTTATAGTATTGTGCTTCCAGAAATAGCGCGTGTGTGAGTGTGTCTGTGTGTGCGTGCGTGCGTGCGTGTGTGTGTGTGCGTGCCTGCCCACCCACACATGCATGTTCACATTGTGTGTATGTGGAAATCTGGGCAAGTCAAAACTTAGAAGAGTTGCCTCCTGTCTCTTGAATTTTCTAGAGATATCACTTATTGTTACAGCTTTTGTGTCGACCCTCATCAACCCCTACTTTTTCCTCTAGAGAGTCAATATCTGCAGTCGGCCTGCTGGTGACTCTATTTCTGATTTCTGTTCCCTCGTCTCTGTCTTCCAACCCCAATCATATTTCCACCTTGGTGCATTGTTTTCACTCCTGAGAAGCTGTCAAGAAGGAGTCCAGATGCTGTCTTCCCATGAATAGTACTCAGTAACAAACCAATTGCATTTTAGTTGGGCGGTGCCCCATCCACCCTCAGTCCCTTCCAGCTAAAACCTTCCCACCTCCTACCATGTGTTTCTCAGTTTCTCTTTTTTGTTGGATTGTTCCACTGCACCTCCTCCTCACCTATCACCCTTGGATCGTAATGTAAAATTCTTTTACCATGTCAAAAAATTATTAAAAATACAGGTACTTTGACCTCTTTCTAAAGCTGCAGACCCTGTGCGATGCTCTGGTGGCTTGGGGATATTCGCACGATGACGTTCATGCACATTTGGACACCCACCTCCCCTGGACCTGCAGCCTCTCTGTCGGGGTGTCCTTCTGCCAGTTGGGCTACCTCTTATCTCTGGAGTAATGTAATGACTGAGGCTTTTGTCTGCTGAGGGGCAAAGCTGGGTCCTTCCATTGTGTTCAGTCTGGGTGAGGTGAAGGCCAGCCCTTCACTGACTGGCCTTCCCTTCATGAGCTTTTTTCCCCTGGTGATGCCCACACGTCACCAGTAGAGGCTGCTCTAGGTCTGTGTAACGGGAAAGCCCAAGGTCAAGGCACAGGCTGCTGCTTTTTTTTTTTTTAACCCCTCCCTCAAATATCTTAAATTTCTTTAAAAGGTGTTAGGAACTCCTGGTTTTTGCTTTTCAGATGCCGTGGAGGGTGGCCTAGAACCCCTAGCTATGAAATAAAGTTTCCTTTACTTCACCTTGCAACGTAGCCTTCTGGTATCCAGCGATCCCTGTGCTCTGCAAAACGAGATTTAAGGTCTTGAACAGTGAGGACCGTCCTCTGTTCAGCCTCTGAGATCAGGATCTAGGGCCGCAACTGAGGAACCGAAGTTGGGGCACAAATCTGACTGCTGAGCCCAGGGCTTCCCCACCCTCCTGGTTTATTGAAAGAGGCTTAAGACCAATGAAGGGCTTGGCAGTAGGCAGCCGGGGCAGCAGTCCTGACTGCTGGTCTGGGCAGCGGCCCTGGTGGAGCGACGCACAGGACACAGGCATGTGGGTGTCAGTGGGTGCCTGAGATTTGTGTTCTTCCCGCAGATCCAGTCTGCTTTCTCTTTTGGGGGGGGGGGGGGGGTTGGGTCACACCCAGTGGTGCTCAGAGTTTATTCCTGGTGTTGCTTGGAGGACCATAGCGGTGCTTGAAATTGAACCCAGGTCAGCCTCATGTAAGGCAAACGCCCTTTCAAATGTACTATCTCTCCGGCCCCAAGAGTTCACTGTTCATCCAGGTGCCTTCTAGTCTAGTCTCAATGAGGAAAATGAGCAGTTGGTACTGGCTCAGGGGCAGGGCAGAGGCCATGAATCTGAAAGTAGTCCCTAGGTCCAAACCACAGAACAGAAAATTGGAACAGAATTATACACATGAAGGTCAGACATTTCCTGTCCGGCCCACAGGGTGGGGTTTTCTCCATCCCTAGCCATCCTGAATATAAAACCTGATTGGATGTCAGTAACGAGAAGGAGCCGCGGGTTTCGGTGTCCTGCATCCACTATGAATCTCAAGGTAGTCCTGGTATTCTTGGCCCTGTCCCTTATCACCATCTTTGCCTTGACCTACGTCTTGCTGACCAGTCAAGGAGGCAATTCCAGCCAACCTCTTCGCTGCCCTGCCACATCTCCCAGTGCCCGACCCTGGACACACCCTGGCCCGAGCCAGCTGTTTGCAGACCTGAGCCCCGAGGAGCTGGCGGCTGTGGTGAGCTTCCTGACCCGGCGCTTGGGCCCGGGCCTGGTGGATGCAGCCCAGGCTCTGCCCTCAGACAATTGCATCTTCTCCGTGGAGCTGCAGCTGCCCTCCAAGGCGGCCGCACTGGCCCACCTGGACCGGGGAAGTCCCCCACCTGCTCGGGAGGCGTTGGCCATCGTCTTCTTTGGGGCCCAGCCTCAGCCTAACGTGAGTGAGCTGGTGGTGGGACCGCTGCCCCGACCCTCATATATGCGGGATGTGACTGTGGAGCGTCACGGGGGCCCCCTGCCCTATCACCGCCGCCCCGTGATGAGTGTCGAGATTGCCCAGATGTGGAAGTATTTGAAGGAGGTGGAGCTCCCCAAGGCACCAAGTTTCCTGGCTTCGGTCTTCACCTACAATGGCTCAACTTTGGCACCTGTCCTCGCCACCCCTCATGGCTTGCGCCCAGGGGACCGTGCCACCTGGATAGCCCTCTGTCATAATGTCTCAGGGGTGGGTTTCTTCCTTCATCCAGTGGGACTGGAGCTGCTGCTGGACCATAGTGCCTTGGACCCTGCCCGCTGGGGTGTCCAGCAAGTCTTCTACCTCGGGCACTACTATGCAGACTTGGGCCAGCTGGAATGGGAGTTTAAGGCTGGACAGCTGCAAGTCATTAAAGTTCCTCTGCCGCTGCCAAATGGACCCTCATCCCTGAGGCCCCGGGTACCCCCAGGTCCTCTTCCTCCTCTTCAGTTGTCACCCCAGGGCCCCCAGTACAGTGTCCAAGGGAACCTGGTGGTGTCTCCGCTTTGGACTTTCAGCTTTGGCCATGGGGTGTTCAGTGGCATGCGGATTTTTGATGTTCGGTTCCAGGGCGAGCGAGTGGCCTATGAAGTCAGTGTCCAAGAGTGTGTTTCTGTCTATGGCGCTGATTCCCCGAAGACCATGATGATCCGTTACCTGGACAGCACCTACGGACTCGGCCTCAACAGCCGGGGCTTGGTGCGGGGGGTGGACTGCCCCTATCAGTCTACGATGGTGGACATCCACGTCTTGGTGGGACAAGGGGCAGTCCAGCGGCAGCCGGGAGCTGTGTGTGTGTTTGAGGAAGCCCAGGGACTGCCCCTTCGCAGGCACCACAACTACCTTCAGTCTCATTTCTATGGTGGTTTGGCCAGCTCGGCCCTGGTAGTCAGATCTGTATCCTCAGTGGGCAACTACGACTACATTTGGGACTTCTTGTTGTACCCCAACGGGGCACTGGAAGGGCGGGTCCACGCCACAGGCTATATCAGCACCGCGTTCCTGCACCAGGAGGAAAGCCTCCTCTTCGGAAACCGAGTGGGGGAGCGAGTGCTGGGGGCTGTGCACACACACGCCTTCCACTTCAAGCTGGACCTGGATGTGGCAGGTGAGTGGCCGGGACGAGGGGGGGGGGGTGGCAGAGGGCTAGGAGACCCCCGCCCCCTGCAAGATCTAACTGGTAAGTCTGGGACGGCCAGGGAGGTGACACTCAAGCCCCGTAGGGAACTGTACGAATAGCAAGGTCTGATGAGGGTGTGTCACTACTGGCCGCCTGACATTCGATCCCAGGGGCTTGTGAAAGGTAGAGGACTCCCCTGGTCTGCAGCCACCCTGGGTGGCTAAATCTGTCAAAAGCTGGGACCCGAGTGGGAGAAAGGATCTCGGCAAATGGGGTGACAATTTAGGAAGGGGTCGTTCCATGGCATGCTGCCCACGCTGGCCTCACAGTGGACTCTGGTGGCCAGGAGTCTGGCTGCAAGTGTCCAAGGAGTTAATGCCATCAGGCTCAAGCAAAAGAGAAAAAAATATATATCTGAATTATCAAACCCATTTTTCACAATCAAGCAAATGGTAAGAGGAGGCAGGAGAGGAAGCCACAGCTCAAGAATTTCTTGTAACAGCACATTTCTTGTGAAACATTGGGGGCTTGGCTCCAGCTAGGAGTGATTTTGAAACATTTTTAACCCTTGAAACTTTTAATCCATGGATGGGGGGGCGGGTGAAGAACTAAAAAGTGAGTGAAATGACCATATAACCAGATGATCCTATGACATAATTTGGGCAAGTACAATTCATTTGATTGTTTATTTGGGGCCACACCCGGAGCTGCTCAGGGTTTATCCCTAGCTCTACTTTCAGGGATCTTTCCCCGGTGGGGTTAAAGTCACTATCTAGAGCATGCATTCCAAGCAGTGTCCTGGGCCAATGACTGCAGGCTCCCTCACATAGATTACATCCAAAGGAACACAGTTTGCACGTAGAAAAGTGTGGTCGAGGGCCAAGTAGGGAAAGAGGTGCAGGTCACTAATGCAGCCGAGTGCTGGGGAACTCCAGCTCCAAAGAGAACTCACCCCACTGTGAAGACTAAACCCAGTCCTCTGCAGGGAGGCAGTGGGGCGGACTCCCCAGCTGGCTTCTCGCCCACACAGACCCAGGGACGGTGCAGGTTTGTGGCGGGGCATCCTCATGGAGAGCCCAGCCACAGAGAGCCACTTCTACACACCAGCTTAGAGACTCAAGTGAGCCACAGAGAGGTCAGCGATTGGCCGCAGTTGGTGTCTGTGGTTTTGGAGATAGAGCCCGGGCCACAGCCCCGCCACCAGGGGCTGTCGAGTGCATGAGTGCCAAGGGAACTTTCTGCAGAGAAGGAGATGTTCTTAGGGGTCCTGTCCACTAGCCTGTGGCCAAATGTGGCTGTTGAGCACTTGAACTGACGCTACTGTGACTGAGGAACTTGACCATGGGTGGGGAGAGTTACTTGGGACTGGCGGTGAGCACATGGGTCTGGGCAGATTAGTAGAGGGATGCAGCTCTGAGCTCCTGGTTCCCTGCCAGGATGCAGGGCTATGCCTTCTGCTAGACTGGGGCAGTGGGCCTCATGGCGGAGGCAAGGGGCCTGTCTTGTTTGTTGTTTTAGCTACCCTGGTGCTCAGGGTTTGCTTCAGGTTCCGCACCCAGGGATTACTCCTGGTGGGGCTCGGGATCATATGGGATGCTGAGAATCTAACCCAGGTTAACAGCAGGCCTGGCAAGCGAAATACTTATTTGGTGATGAGATGCTCAGGGCTTACTCCTGGCTCTGCGTTCAGGAATTACTCCTGGTGGTGCTTGGTGACCATGTGGGCTGCTGGGGATTGCACCTGGGTCTGCCTTGTGCAAGGCAAGTGCCCTACTTGCTGTACTATCTCTCCAGCCCTGTGAAATGTTTTAATTGTGCTGCTTTTATTGGGAGGAGGCACCCCCAGTATTGCTCAGGGGTTACCCCTGGTTTTGCACTTAGGAATCACTGCTGGCAGTCTAGGGATGGCTATATGGGATGCCAGGAATCAAACCTGCATTGGCCTGTGTAGGGCAAGCACCCTACCTGTTGTACTATCTCTCCAGCTCTAAATCATGTTTTATTTTGAAGCATGTCAGGAGAATGGGGGTGAGGGCTGTGCTCATTCTTCGGGGACTGAACCTGGGTCGGATGCATGCACGGCGAGCACCCTCCGTCCTCTTACTGGCGCGAGGGGCCTGTCTTACCTGGTATGGATCTCCCGTCCCCTCACTCTGGCAGGGCTGAAAAACTGGCTGGTAGCTGAAGACGTGGTGTTTAAGCCTGTGGCAGCCCCTTGGAGCCCACAACACCAGCTGCATCGGCCCCAGCTGACCCGGCAGGTGCTGGGAAGGGAGGACCTGGCGGCCTTTCCCCAGGGCAGCCCTCTTCCCCGCTACCTTTACCTGGCTAGCAACCAGACTAACGCCTGGGGTCACCAGCGCGGGTACCGGATCCAGATCCACAGCCCCCTGGGCGTGCACTTGCCCCTGGACAGTGGCATGGAGAAGGCCCTCAGCTGGGGGAGGTGAGGAGGCCCCGGGCACCGGGTGGAAGGGGGGAGGATTGATCCTTGGCCCGTGCCAGCTGGTGGAGACCCCAAGTCGCTTGCCCTAGCCTACTGCTCATCTCTGTAACGCCTCAGATGCAAGGAGACGGGTGGGATGTGATCTCACGCTAAACCTAGCCCGCAGGCGTCTGGGAGACAGGGAACTCGCCATTTTCTGACACCACTTCCCAACATTCCTGGTCAGGTACCAGCTGGCAGTGACACGAAGGAAGGACACGGAGGCCTGGAGCAGCAGCGTCTATTACCAGAGTGACATCTGGACGCCCACGAGGCCTTTCGCTGACTTCATCAACAATGAAACCCTCCTAGGAGAGGTGGGTGTGGGTGTGAGGGGTGGGGAGAGCATCCGGGGTGCTTGGGTTCTGGACGGCCCTTCACTAGTGAATGGACGGTGCCATGTTCCTCCATGTCCTGAATGATACCAGCCCTGGACACTGCCCGCCCGCCTTCCCCGCGTCTCTCTGGGCTCCAGAGGATTCCATCTGCTCCTTCTTCCCACAGGACCTGGTGGCCTGGGTGACTGCCAGCTTGCTGCACATCCCTCAGGCAGAGGATGTGCCCAACACGGTGACCCTGGGGAACAGAGTGGGCTTCTTGCTCCGCCCCTATAACTTCTTCAATGAGGACCTATCCATTTTCTCCCCCGGCAATGTCTACTTTGAGAAGGACCAGGATGCTGGGCTGTGCAGTATCAATCCCGTGGCCTGCGTCCCCCACCTGGCGGCCTGTGTCCCCGACCTGCCCCCCTTCTCTTACCAGGGATTTTAGCCTGAGAGTGTGGTGGAACTTCGGGGGAGTGGGAGACACCTCCCCTGTGCCCACTCTCCTCCCTTGCAATGTTTCAGTGTTTCTCATGAGATGCTGACACACTCCCCACCCCCACACAGAGCCTCAGGCATCCCTTGGGCTCCTTCAGGTCTCCAGAAGCAGCACGTTTATGCCAACGATGACATAACTCCTCAAGCAAAATCCCCGTGAATCCTACTATGCAGAAGGAGCTAGCGTTCACGTTTGTTAGCGCTGACCCCTCGCTTTGTGGTTTCCGATGGAAGGAGAGAATGTGGTGAAAAGAGAGGTGTGTGTCCTCTACAATAAAAAATAACACAAGGGTTTTCCTTGAGTTTCTTCTAGTAGCCTTTTAAATATCGAGAATCCCCAAAAGACTATTAAGGACTGGGGCCAAGGATATTAGCAATGGCGAAGCGACCTGGGGGAGCCAGCTGGGGAAGGAATGCTGCTTGGGGAGCTGAGGGCTGGGGGTGGGGGTTTCCTTGGAAGGAGAACAATAGTTCGAGTTCCAGGAAAGGGAACATCTGACCCTGGGGAAGGGGGGCTGGGGGGCGATGTGGGTTCAGGGGAGCTAATGGAGCCCCTGGCTGGTAGTCTGTCTGTGCTCAGGCTCGCCAGCTGCATTAGTCAGATATTCCACCACCCTGCCACTCCTACCCCCTTGCCCTGCCCACTGTCCCTCCTGTCCCCCTTCTCCTGCTCTCCCTAGCAGCAACCCTGACCCAGAGAGCGGGAGTCTGATTTGGAGCCTGAAGGATAAAGCCTTGTAAGGTCTGTGGAAATCACAGCTGTGGTTTCGGCCCGCCCCCCAGCCGGGACCGCCCCACCCCCTCCCCAGCTTCCTGTATCCTCAGCCTCAGGCTGCAGAACCTCTGATTCCTGGGAACCTCTGGCAGAGTCCAGAAGCCCCCGGTACAGAAACCCAGACGCACCCTCTCCAGCAGGCCTGAGAGCATCAGGCTGGGCTCTGGGTTCTCTGCACCATGAACCAGAAGACCACGCTCGTGCTCCTGGCGCTGGCTGTCATCACCATCTTTGCCTTGGTGTGCGTCTTGCTAGCTGGCCGGGGAGGAGATGGGGGTGAACCCAGCCAGCCCCTCCACTGCCCTGCCACATCTCCCAGTGCCCAGCCCTGGACACATCCTGGCTCGAGCCAGCTATTTGCAGACCTGAGCCCTGAGGAGCTGGCGGCTGTGGTGAGCTTCCTGACCCGGCAACTGGGCCCGGGCCTGGTGGATGCAGCCCAGGCCCGGCCCTCGGATAATTGCATCTTCTCCGTGGAGCTGCAGCTGCCCTCCAAGGCGGCTGCGCTGGCCCACCTGGACCGGGGGAGCCCTCCACCTGCCCGGGAGGCATTGGCCATCGTCTTCTTTGGGGCCCAGCCTCAGCCTAACGTGAGTGAGCTGGTGGTGGGACCGCTGCCCCGACCCTCGTATATGCGGGATGTGACTGTGGAGCGTCACGGGGGCCCCCTGCCCTATCACCGCCGCCCCGTGCTCATGCGCGAGTACCACGACATAGACCAAATGATCTTCCACCGAGAGCTGCCCCGCGTGGATGGGCTCCTACACCACTGTTGCTTCTACGGGCGCCCAGGACACAGCCTGGTGACACTGATCACGGCGCCCCCGGGTCTGCAGTCTGGGGACCGGGCCACCTGGTTCGGCCTCTACTACAACACCTCGGGGTCGGGGATTTTTTTGCACCCCGTGGGCTTGGAGCTGCTGGTGGACCACAAGGCCCTGGACCCTTCCCGCTGGACCATTCGGAAGGTGTTTTTCCAAGGCCGCTACTATGAGAACTTGGCACAGTTGGAGGACCAGTTCGAGGCTGGCCGGGTCAACGTGGTGCTGATCCCCCACAATGGGACAGGGGGGGCCTGGTCCCTGAAGTCCCAGGGGCCCCCGGGTCCTGCTCCCCCTCTGCAGTACTTCCCCCAAGGCCCCCGCTTCAGTGTCCAGGGGAGCCAAGTGGCCTCCTCCCTGTGGACCTTCTCCTTCAGCTTGGGGGCTTTCAGTGGCCCAAGGCTCTTTGACATCCGCTTCCGGGGAGAGCGTCTGGCCTATGAGATCAGCCTCCAAGAGGCCTTAGCCGTCTATGGTGGAAACACCCCCGCAGCTCTGCTTACCCGCTACATCGATGGTAGCTTTGGCATGGGAAAGTACATCAGCCCCCTGACGCGGGGTGTGGACTGTCCCTACCTGGCCACCTACGTAGACTGGCACTTCCTGTTGGAGTCCCAAGCTCCCAGGACCATCCGAGATGCCTTGTGTGTATTTGAACACAACCAGGGCCTCCCGCTGAGGCGGCACCACTCAGATTTCTACTCCCACTACTTTGGGGGTCTGGTGGACACCGTGCTGGTCATCCGCTGCATGTCCACCTTGCTCAACTATGACTATGTGTGGGATATGGTCTTCCATCCCAATGGGGCCATCGAAGTCAAATTCCACGCCACGGGCTACATCAGCTCGGCCTTTCTCTATGGTGCCACCCGGAGGTATGGGAACCAAGTTGGGGAGCACCTGTTGGGCACAGTGCACACTCACAGCGCCCACTTCAAGGTGGACCTGGATGTAGGAGGTAAGGCCTTCAGGGATGCGGATGCCCAAAGTGGTGCTGCAGAGTCGTCTCCATTTGCCGTAGCCTGATGAAGGGTATACAGGACACGGAGAGTGAAGCGTGAATAAGTGATGTGGAGTTTCATAGCTTCTCTTTTGCTGGTTGGGAGAGTTGGCTGCAAAGTCTGGTGTGCACCTTTGCTCCTTGGCTGGGGGCACAGCTGCCACCTTCCCTTGACGTGGCCTCCGGAGGGAATCTCAGGAAACGGTAAAGCTCAGGGGGGAAGGCAGGACCTGGGCTACCAAGATCCTGCGGTTTCTCCCTCTCTTGCACCTCTCTGGGCCTGTCTGAAGCTGTCGTGCTGGTTTCTCTGTCTGGCCCTGGGGGCATGTGTTTTAGAAAAGCCGTGAGCATTCTGCCAAGTCCTTGGCACAGCCTGGTTGGTCCTGAAATATTCCAAGTTGCACATTTCCTTGGGGAGAGGGACCTTTCTCCTCCCTGTTTTTCTGCCTCTCTCTGGGAAATATGCTTAAGTACAAAGGGTAGAATAATTTTGTGGAACATTCAAAATCATTCCTGGGGTTGGTGGTCACCAAAAAACCCCCCAAAAAAAAAAAACAGCCAGGGACACATGCTGTCATGGGGTCTTCACCTCTCTGTTTTGTTTGTTTGGTTTTGGTCCACACCTAGCAGTGCTTAAGGCTTCTGTGCTCAGGACTCCTGGTGGCGCTTGGGGAACCACTTGTGGTGCTGGGGATCAACTTGGCATCAGACACACGCAAAGGAAGTATCTTAGCTTTTATACTATCCCTTTAGACCAAGAGGTCTTTGCCTTTTCAACCTTTCCTCCCTCCAGTGAATTTTTTGATCACCAGATAATTTTTCTGTCCTGACTCTAAAATATCTCAAGCTCATGACATGGCCCATATTCACCCCATTGGGGCCAGCTCTGCTGCTTCCTCTTTAGCTCTCTCAGATCCTATGTCCTAGTGAGGCAACTGCTCTATGGGCCTCACTTTTCCATCTATAAGACCCATCCCTGATACCCACCTACCTTCTTTGACTTTGCTTCTGTCTGTTTCTGGTCTAGAGAGTGGCTGGTCATGCCATTTCTTTTTATTTTCTTTTTAAAATGTTTTTAGGGCCACACCCAGTGATGCTCAGGATTTAAACCTGGCTATATGGGATGCCGGGGATTGAGCATGGGTCGGCAGCATGCAAGGCAAGTGCCTTACCTGCTGTACTATCTCTCCAGCCCGTTGGCCATGTCATTTCTTCTGGCAAGGTCTTCTGAGGCCAGGCTGAAGTGTCTCCCAGGGAGGTCCCTTTGTGTCCTGTGTGTGTGATCCTGGAACTGGATCTTGATTGTTTTCCTTCTATGAATGCTGACCTGGGCTGGGCCTCTCTGAGTCCCTGTGAAAGCTAGAGGCTCAGAATGGGCCTTCCCTCATCCCCAGGGCCCAGCACTGGACCCTCCGTCACTGTGCTTGAATGAATTCAATGAACGGAGCCATCAATTTACAGGCAACAGCACTGACTGAAAGATTTGGGGTATTTAGAGGGGGGTGGTTGGGGGTATATGAAAGACAAGAGGGAGGGGGGCATATTCAGTTCTGGCCTTTCCTTTGACTCTGAAGTTCAATGGGGCAGAGTCCAGTGTGGGCTGGGCAGCTGCATAACCAGCTCCCTAACCAACCCTCTATTCCTTCCTCACCCCATTTGCCATCCCCCCTTCCCAACCCCCGGCAGGACTGGAGAACTGGGTCTGGGCTGAGGACATGGCCTTTGTCCCCACATCAGTGCCCTGGAGCCCCAAACACCAGGCTGAGAGGCTGCAGATAACCAGGAGGCAGCTGGAGACGGAGACACAGGCGGCCTTCCCGCTGGGAGCTGCCACCCCTCGATACTTGTACCTCGCCAGCAACCACAGCAATAAGTGGGGTCACCCACGAGGCTACCGCATCCAGGTGTTCAGCTTTGCTGGGGAGCCCCTGCCCCAGAACAGCTCCATGGAGAGAGCCGTCAGCTGGGCGAGGTGAGTTTTGGTGATGGTGGTGTGGGGGGAGCATCCAAGATGCTGTTGGGGGGGTCACACCCAGCGATGCACAGGGATTACTCCTGGCTCTGCACTCAGGAATTACTCCTGGTGGTATTCAGGGGACCATATGGGATGCTAGGTATTGAACCTGGGTCAGCCGCGTGCAAGGCAAACACCCTACCTGGTGTACTATCGCTCCAACCCCAGGATAGGAGCTTTGGAGGGTCACTGAGAAACAAGAAGCTGGATTTGGATGAGGGCAGAGCTCTGGCAGTCAGGATTTCCTGGTTATCAAGAGGGACCCTAGAGGGATGGTCCCTACAGGGCTTAACCCATGTGGTACTTTTCTCTTTTTGGGTTGTGGAGGGGCCTGGCTTGTCAATAGCAGGGGAACATGCGGGACCAAGAGCTGGTGGTGACCCAGACTGGTGGTGATAGGATCACTGTGAGGAGAAAGAGGAAAGGGTTGGATCAATGGTACAGCAGGTAGGGCACTTGCCTTGCATGCGGCCAGCCCAGGTTTCATCGCTCCCTGACACCACATCTGGCCTCCTGAGCACTGCCAGGAGCAATCCCTGAGCACAGAGCCAGGAGTAAGTCCTGAGCACTGCGAGGGCATGGCCCAAAAATACAAAAGGGAAAATAAAGAAGATGGAGATGCTCAGTTCCCATCACCCTGATGAGGCCAGGGGTGGTGGCCAGAGAGGCCTGACCAGTGCCGCCCTAGGTACCAGCTGGCTGTGACCCAGAGGAAGGAGGAGGAGACCAGCAGCACCAGCATCTACAACCAGAATGACCCCTGGAGCCCCACTGTAGACTTCTCCAACTTCATTGACAATGAGACCATTGCTGGTGAGGTCAGTGTCTGTCGGGGGTGGGGTGGGGGGCTGCAGGGGTCCCTGGGAACCATAGACACCCAGGGATGGAGCAACTCCTGGTTTCTGTTTTTCCAGGGGTTGGATTATTCTTTGTGTGTGTGTGGCGAGGGGGTTGTGGGTGTGTGGTTTTTGGTCCACACCCAGCAATGCTCAGGAGTTTGTACTCCTGGCTCTGCACTCAGGAATCACTCCTGGTGGTTCTTGGGGAACTTTATGGGGTGCTGGGGATCGAACCCCAGTCGGTTCCGTGCAAGGCAAACACCCTACCCATTGCACTACTGCCTGGACCCTGGATTATTACCTTTCATGGCGGGGGGGGGGGTGGTCTGGGAGAACAGGTCAAACCTTGGAGTGCTTAGGGAAGCAGGCAGTGCCCTCCCTCCCCCCCACTCAGGGACCCCTCATTCCCCCAGCTGGGAATTCCTGCGTAGACTCTGGCTGACCCCCTGACCTGTCCTGAGACATTCCTGTTAGTGTCCCAGGAGGACTCGGCTCCTGTTAGAGCTGTGGAGGGGACGAGACTGCCAGGAAGGAGCATTTCTCCGGTAGCTGAAGCTCCTCTCACCCTGGCTTCTCCCCTGGAGGAGCAACTGCTGAAGGCTGATCTCACTAGCCTTCTGCCCTCTAAGTTTGGGAGCTCCTGGAAAGTTTGGGGGCAGTAGCTGAAGTTGCCTGAGGGGAAGGGTGATGTCAGATGTCAGCCTTCTCTGATGGCAACAACTTGGTGGGCAATGACAGAGATAAAGTCTTTTTTTTTTCTTTTTGGGTCATACCCATCGATGCTCAGGGGTTACTCCTGACTCTGCACTCAGGATGGTGATGCACTCACCATCTCATATGGTCCCCCAAACACTCCTGGCAGTGTTTGGGGGATCATATGGGATGCTGGGGATCGAACCCTGGTTGGCTATGTGCAAGATAAACACCCTCCCTGCTGTACTATCTCTCTGGCCTACCCATACACTCAGGAATTACTCCTGGTGGTGCTCAGGGGACCATATGGGATGCTGGGAATCAAACCCGGGTCAGCTGCGTGCAAGGCAAACGCCTTACCTGCTGTCCCATTGCTCCAGCGCAAGAGAAAAAGTCTTGAACAGCTTGATACATGTTGGACTCTCTGTGTCCTGAGTTCCAGTGCACTTTTTTAAAAAAAATATTTTTTCTTTCTGGGTCATATCTGGTGATGCTCAGGGATAGCCCCAGCTCTGCACTCAGGAATTACTCCTGGTGGTAATCGGGAGACCATATGGTATGCTGGGGATTGAACTCTGGTCGGCCACATGCAAAACAAATGCCCTTCCTTCATGGATGCCCTCCAACCCCATCCATGCACTTTTTTTCTCTTTTGGGTCACACCCAGTGATGCTCAGGGGTTACTCCTGGCTCTGCACTCAGGATGGTGATGCACTCACCATCTCATATTGTCCCCCAAACACTCCTTGCATGTTTGGGGGACCATATGGGATGCTGGGGATCAAACCCCGGTTGGCTGTGTGCAAGATAAACGCCCTCCCTGCTGTACTATCTCTCTGGCCCACCCATGCACTCTTGAAGACTGAAATCATGGCGAGGGAACTAGGGCTAGCTAGGCGAGTCCTTCCCTCTGAGGCCACGGAGGGAACTTTCAGTGTACTCAGCAAAACCTGGCTTCCTGACCTTCCTCCTCCTCTCTCCCTAGGACCTGGTGGCCTGGGTGATGGCTGGTTTCCTGCACATCCCACACTCTGAGGACATTCCCAACACGGTGACCGCGGGGAACGGCGTGGGCTTCTGGCTTCGGCCCTACAACTTCTTTGACCAGGATCCCTCCTTCGATTCTGCTGACTCTGTCTACTTCCGGGGAGACCAGGATGTGGGAGCCTGTGGGGAGAACCCTCTGGCTTGTCTCCCCCAGACTGCGAGCTGTGCCCCTGACCTCCCTGCCTTCTCCCACGGGGGTTTCTCTCACCATTAGATGGCCCCTGGGTGGAGATGTGGGCTGGGGCCCTGGACCCGGGTGCCTGCGGGGGGTGGGGGGGGTTGGGGGGGGTTGTGACAGAGTACCAACCAGGTTCTCTCTTCTCCTGAGCTCCTTCTACCCTGGACCCGGGTGCCTGTGGGGGATGGGGGGGGTGACAGAGTATCAGGCACCAGGTTCTCTCTTCTCCTGAGCTCCTTCCTTCCCCTCCACATCCCTCCCAGCCGCTTCCCTCCCTGCTGGGAACACCCCAACACCCCAAGCCTCGAGTCTGCCTGGGTCTTGGGCCCAGAGAGGGGCAGCCAACCAGGGCCCAGATGATGGCCAAGCTTCTCCCACACAAAACTCCCTTTGTTTTATTTTCTGTTTTTCTCTCTGTTAGATTTTTCTCAGTTTTTTTCCAGGCCATCTCCAGGTCTCTCCTGGGCTTCCCCAGACCTCCCCTGGGAGGTACACTTGGGGTTCTGGACTTATTTCTGTTATTCCAGGATAGGGCTCCTGGTGGACCCACACTCCACAGAGAGCTGGAAGAGGGGGAGGCTGCAAGCCCGCCTCCTTTTTTCTTCTCCTCCTGCCTGTCCCTTACCCCCACTTTTTTTTTCTTTTTGGGTCACACGCGGCAATGCACAGGGGTCACTCCTGGCTCTGCACTCTGGTATTACTCCTGGCGGTGCTCGGGGAACCATATGGGATGCTGGGAATCGAACCCAGGTTGGCCGTGTAGGGCAAGGCAAATGCCCTACCAGCTGTGCTATCGCTCCAGCCCTTACCCCCACTTCTTACCCTATAGCTGGGTGACAACCCCAACCCCAGTCTTCATTTCTCAACTCTGGTCACCTATCTTGACCCCGAAACCTGTGGAAATTTCAGAAACACAAAGCATTTCTAGTCTGAGAGAACAGTTCTCCATCTCCATGTGTCTGTCATACACAGGGAAAGGGTACTGTCCCCTAGTCCTGTCCTGGGATGGGTGTGTCTCCCCACACTTCTTTGCCTTGAATTCTCTGATGAAGAAAGGCCATGAAGATAGCATGGGGAAAATTTGCATTTTAGGTGGTTTTGTGGGTGCATTGTAAGCAGACATGTGAGAAGCTGTGTGGTCCCCAAGGGGGCTGTCCAGTCACCTGCAGCCTCTGCCATTCTGTTTCCTGGGGGGTGGGCTGTCCAATTACCTGCAGCCTCTGCCATTCTGTTTCCCACCATTATCACCCACAAAAGTCTGGATGACTTGCAACCACAATGGAGGGAATTATCTTCCCTAGAGGATTGGTTAAAGACATTTTGATACAACTTCACAATGTAATAACTACAGCTATAAAATAATTATTTCTTTATATCATAATGGGGAGCAATCTTCCAGGGAAGAAGGAGAGGCTCCAGAGCTTGTAGCATGCATTTTCTGTTATTTATAAAGGGGGTAAATATAGATATATGTTTGCTTCTATGTGTATATTTAGAAGAAAGGGTAAGATTTGTATCAAGAGAGGAACAAGGAAGTTAGGGAGAGGGGGAACTTGAAACTATCTACTTAAAAAATGTTTTTAAGTAGATCAGAGCTATAGTACAACAGGTAGGGCACCCACCTTGAAAACCCAGACCCAGGCTCAATCCTGGGTACTCCTATGGTCCCCCAGACCCTGCCAGGAGTGTTCCCTGAGTGCAAAGCCCAGAGTAAGCCCTGAGCACCTTAGGGTGAAGCCCAAAACAACAACAAATTTTTTTTTGGTGGGGGACTACCTGAAGGTTCTGGGGTGGGTCATTCCCATGGTGCTTGAGGGGTATGGAGGATGGTACTCAGGGCTCCTACATTCAAAGCGCATACTCCAACCCTTTGAGCCATCTCCCTGCCCCCCAGAACTGTATGGATTTTTTTTGTACATCCTGAATTTTGACACCCCACCCCATGCCTGAATTACTGATTCAAAATAAATAATAAATGGTCCCAAAGAATGCCTGACTTATTTTCTTTAACTGGAATATCTTTTGAGAAGTGGTGTTGAGAAGAGAGCCAAAGAGAGTTAAGGGACGGGTCCAGGGCTCAGTTGACAGTAAGCGTGCATATCACATACCCTGCAAAATTGTTGAAAGGTGTCTCCTTGACAGAATCACTCAGGAGACAGGACCACATGTCCTGCGCTGTTTCTTTTTGAATGCACTTGGCCCCAGACTCTGTGAACATGACAAGCATCTGTTTGTCCCCGGGAGACAGAGTCCAACCTAACCCGCAGGGGGATTGTTGCACCCCAGGACATGATGAATCAGCAGAGGTGTGACCCAGAGGCCCTTCGAGGTCAGCTGAACTTTTTTCTGTGCCTCGGTCATTCTCTGCTCCAGTGCATTCTAGGGAGACTGCAGCTGGGGTGTGGGATAGACTAGAGGTAAGGAGAGCAGGTGGGAGGCAAAGGATTATGAGGAGGCCAATGACCCCCAGAACATGGGAAAAGATGAGTGTGAGATGTTTAGAGTCAGTGGGAAGCGGGCTTAGGTGGCACCGAGGTTTTCCATTGGGTAACTAGGTAGGTGGTGGGACCTTTCACCAGAAGGGCAGAGCTGGGCATGGTGCAACTGACCATGCACAGGAGTTGGAAGAGATTGGGGATGGTGCAAAGGGCTAAAAACACACACTCTGCATGCTGGAGTCCTGGGATCAGCCCCTGGCACCTCACAATTCCCTGAGCACTGCAGGTGTAACCCCAAAACCTAAAAGAAAACACCATTGTAAGAAACTGGCAGCCAAAGAACATGCTGGGTCATGGCATGAGTGAGAGTGTGTGTGTGTGTGTGTGTGTGTGTGTGTGTGTGTGTGTGTGTTTGTGTGTTTGTGTGTGTTGGGCGGGGGGGGCACTTCCCATAGTGCTTGGGGAGCCAGGGAACTGAGGGGGGGTGTGGGGAGCCCCCAGGGCTGGCAGTTTTGGCTAGGGCCTTCATTTCTGTCTCTGCAGTGGCTGGACAGAGGTCTGTCTGGATTTGAAGGCTGTGACTAGCAAGCTTCCTTCTGCAGCGAGTTCTCCAAACTCCCTGACCTGGCCCACCAGTCCTGTTCAAATGATGCTGCCAGGAGACTTTTGGTTCCTGAGCTACATCCCTGCCTCCAGAGCCTCCCTTTCAGTGAAGTTGCTCATGCACCACACGTTCCCCCTTGTGATTCAGCCTTCTTGTTTGTTTTAGGGCTACTCCCTGCCATGCTCAGGAGCTACACCCAGCCCAGGGTTCCAGCTCAAAGCATGAACTCCAGCCTTTTGAGCCACCACCCTGACCCCCCAAGCATTTGCCTCCAATCTACCTTAGGATGCTGTTAGGAATCTGGGTAATTGGGAGAGGGAAGGGGGACCAGAGAGAAATAAGGAGCAGAGCCTGGAAGGGGGGGGGGGGTCCCCAAAGTAGAGGAAGGATAGAGGGAAATTTGTTGCAGAGCTGTGGGCAGGTGAGTCTGGGTTTATAGCTTGGGAATAGGATAGAATCTTCCCTCTGGGTGGGCAAAGAAAGAATCCAAGGACTGTGTCTTCTGCCCCTCCTCCTCACTTCCCTCTAGGGGTGATTATCTCTCAGACACACCCCCCTTCTATTCCCCAGCCCTGACCCTGAGTATTTGATTTGGAACAGGAGGACGGATGCTTACGTGGGCCACAGAAGGGGCAGATTCTTGCCTGGGTCCCGCCTCCTGAGCCCCGCTCCCTCCCCTCAGCCTCTATCCAGCACCACTGCCCAGAGACCAGGACCCTGCCTGCCTGCCTGCCTGCCTGCCTGTCTGTCTGTCTGTCTGTCACCCCCAGGTTGCTCTCTTGATTCAGGGCCTTAGCTAAAAAAAAGTTCAGAAACTTGAGCAAAGATACAAGATAAGAGTCTATTGCTGGGGCATTGTCCAGGGGAAGAGCTCTGAACTTTTAGTGGTTTTCTTTGAGATTTTTATCACAGTCATTTATTTCTGCAGGGACTTCTCTCTGGAGGGTGTCCAGCCTTCTCTGAGCTGCCCTTTGCCAACCTCAGTGTCCAACTTTCATGCCTTTGGGCTACTTTAGGGCTAGCGACAGAATAACTCGTTTAGTTCACTTTTGGTTTTTCTTGCCTCTCAGAACCCACTGCTGGGACCCTCCAATCTGCTGCTTCAATACAGTTTATTGTGATATAATTCCCTCCCGGAGCACTGTGCTGTGGGCACATTCCTGCTTCTTTCGCCCATGGCTGAATTCTAGTCCATTATGTAAGGAGTCCAGATTCAGAGTATCTTGTCATCAGTAGTGGACATGTGAGTTGTTTCCACTCTGCAGGTTGTTATGGGTGATGCTGTGAAGCTGTTTGCTACATTCTCTGTGGCCTTGCTTCATTTTCCTGGGGAGTACAATGCCGGTCATATGGCAATTCTGTTTTATCTTTGAGAACCTACCAGAATGTTTTCCCAAGTGATTATTTTTTGGGGGGATGGGTAAAACGAAATACAGAAAATTTACCATTTAACCAATTTTCTGGGGAGGGGTGAAAAGGAAGCATCATTTCTAGTGGTTCTTAGGGTGCAGAAAGAAGAGCCTACCCAGGATTCATGCATGCAAAGCGTGCTCCAACCCTCTGAGCTATTTTCCACCCCCATTTGGCCTTTACTGGGGGGAGGGGCACACCTGGAGGTGCTCAGGGGTCACATGTGGCAGTGGTTGGTGCAGGGGGGGCACATGCAATGTCCAGATTTGAGCCATTATAGTAGCTGCAGTCTTGTGTAAGGCAAGCTTTGTACTCTCTGTACTCTTTCTGGTCCGCCCATTTGACCATTTTGGAGGGTGGGGCCATACCTGCTGGTGCTCAGAGATCACTCCTGCCAGTGCTCATGTGCAGTGCCAGGGATCAAACCAGGGTTCACTACCCCATTGGACCATTTTTTTTTTCTTTTCGGGTCATACCCCATGATACCCAGGGGTTACTCCTGGCTCATGCACTCGAGAATTACCCCTGGTGGTACTTGGGGAACCATATGGGATGCTAGGAATCGAACCTGGGTTGGCCGCGTGCAAGGCAAATGCCCTACCCTCTGTGCTATCGCTCCAGCCCCCCATT